CACCGTGGTTAGGGTTGGAAGCGAGGGCGAGTATCATTTCGTAGCACATCGAGCTGTTCTCGCTGCACATAGCGGCTACCTTAAAGCTTTGCTGACGAGCGCAACGAGTACCACCGCTGACAGTTCTATAGGCGCATCCTCCTCACACAATGGAAACCAACCTCTCATCAGCTCTGTCGTCGTCCCCTCTACCATTGGTAACTAGCCTCCCTTTACCTTTGACCCTCCAATTAAGTAAGTAATCGCTTACAGGGCACTACGGGAAATGGCCATCGCTAGTTTTCAGAACAATTCAATGTATTGTGTATATCATAATTATCATAATTACATTTGTAACATCAAACCCAATTTTATTTATTCTAAATATCATTGATGAAATGAGTTTTTTAACTTAACCAGCGATAAACAATGATAAACATTAAAAGTGCATCGTACAGGTGGTGAAGCGTTTGCGCCTCTACTTAACTATATGTACACGGGCCGACTGGAGGTCAGCCTCGACAACATCTACACAGTTTTACTGGCCACACATTTGTTACACATGCCAGGTGCTTTGGAACAGTGTCGCGCAGCCCTTCTTAGGTTGCGAGAACCTTCGGTCATCCCAGCTTCTGTTTCACCAACATCTCAACCACCACCGCAATCATTACCACCGTTACTTCAACCACAACAGCAGCAACAACTGAACAGCGTTTTACGGCCGGTACCCAACCGTCTCTTAGGGCCAACCTTTTGCTGGTCTCAAGGCAGTGCCACTACAAGCCACCTTTACTCAGCGAGACAACTTGAGTTTTCGCATCTACCTTCTATCCAATTACCATCAACTATCTCCGTACAACCAACGCCAACGATGCAAAAAACGGGTTTCCCCTACAGGTGAGCCCTTAATCTCTAGTATGTATTTTCATTCAAATATGTATTTTACTTATTTAACAAATAAAGACCTATACACAAAGATCTCCCAATTTAAAAAAATTTCAAAATTCAAATGCGTCGTTTAATTAAATTGAGATCCAAAAATTGATCGGTTTTTTTATTAAGGTTTGAAAGTAAAGAGCCATCGGTCTCGCCGTCATCCAATAGTTCTCAATTGCAACAACACTCAACTGGCAGGCGTTCGCCTTCGACTAGTCCGGAATTAGTAGTCGCCTCGTCCTCGACGAGCTCTGTAACCCAGCGTAGTGACGAACAGCAATCTCTACTCCGTTGTTCCAGCCCCTCTACCACCAATGAACGAGCATGCGATGGAGGCGAAAATAATAGACAAAACCAGCAGCAGCAGCAACAACAACAACAACAGCAGCAGCAGAAGCAGCAACAACAGCAGGAGCAGGAGCAAGAAGAACAGACGACTCATCACAGTAGGTCCTCTCAGCAAAAAACTCAGTCTTCGCGCATAGGCCGCGGCAATAACCAGCGAGAAAAGTCCTCGTCGTCCTCCACCATAAGTGGCGTCGCATTACAGACTCCCGGAGTCGTTTACGACGTTGCTTGCTGCGATGGTCCGGTCCGCTTTCATCGTGTACTTAATGAAAATTACTCACCCTCCGCCGATCAGGTAATTATTGTAATAATGTTTTTCTTTAAATTTATATTCATCATTCTAAAGTAAATATGTTGAATGAACTTTACATTCAGGCTTCAGTAAGTAATAATCAACAGCATCAAGATAATCATGATCAAAAAAAGCTGCAGCCAATGCAACGCCCGGTCGAGTATCGATTATTTCCAGGGCAATGTAATGGTAGAAACTCAACCTGTCACCAAACGCAGGAATCTCCAGCTAGTTGTCGCGAGAATGATGAAAACGAACACCACAGTATTCAAAGTCAACCACCGCTTGCATTTGGTAGCATCAGTGACAATCGATTGGGTAACTTCACGTGCGCTTACTGTCAGCATACGTTCAAGTCGCAATACTGTTACCGCAAACACGCGCGTCGGCATCTGCTTCCGACGGATGCCGAAAATGCCGTGAACCTCCAACTTTTACAGCAATCACAACGACAGCCCCAACCTCAACAAGAGCCACTAATCCAACAGCAGGAAGTAGAAGGTTCGCAGCTAGAAACCAGGAAACGCGAGGTCCGTCTCCTCGATCTCAACGTTCAATATTATCCATGCAAGATATGCGGCAGCAAGTTCCCAAGTTACTATTTCGTGCACAAACACCGAAAGCTTTGCCACGCAAACGTAGAAGAGCCGCATAGCCGTTTCTCTAGCGCAGAGGACCGAATACCCGTCAAAAATACGGTTTTGTCTCTGGTTCCAACACAACAGCATCAACCCAGCACTAGTGAAAATATCCAAAAACCGACCTGAGCTTTCCGACCCTGGGTGCACATGGACTTCCATCGGAACACCCCCTTCTCTATTTAATTTACACTTTTGAATCATTACTTTCCTTTCACAAATATCAGAACTGTGACCCCAGTGTTTTGATTATATAATGAGAGAAGTTATGATTTATTTTGATGTTCTGTGCAATCACTTTTTAAATAATTCACCTGTACGTATGATAAAGATATTTATTCATGAATAGCCCAAGTGCTTATTGAATTCAATGTTTATTTTAGTATTATATCAGCAGAAGTTGCGCTTTAATCGAACAATTTGCAAATGTAAACAATTGCCAAAAACGGTTATAAAACGAATTTAAATTTGTACGTGAAAAAGTAAATTACTACTTCAATCAGCACATTATATTAAGAAGAATATTACATGTAAGTAAATGAAAATAAATGAAAACCCATTAAACGTGAATTGAAGTTTTTTATAATGCAACTAACGTATGTAACATTGATAAAGGCATTTATAATTAAGAGGCATAGTAATTTGATTTTTAATCAAATGCGTAATATTTAATATTTCTGATGTAAAAAAGCAAATAAAATAACGAAAATTCTGTATATATCGTTATATATCGTCGATTATCTGTTAATAAACGAATTACCACATTTAACTTTTGTTTATTCTGGTTTAAAATCACTATACATTTTATAAATTTTCCTTCACAATACATTTCAGAAACATTTTTAAAATAATTTGAGTAGCTTTCTCATTAATACATTTACATTATTTTAAATATAACTATGTGTGCATATATTTTTTATCTGCAATTTATTTGATTATTAATTTCGAAGTATACATTTATTTACCAACCAATATTATTATACATTTTATTAACCGGCAGAAACATAAATTTTTAAATTTATCCTTTAATTTATTTAAAATGTAAAATACTTCTTCATAATTTATATCAAATATATTTTTAATAGCTCTCAGGCTTAGAAATCATGTTCTTAATTAACGTATTTAACCTTCGTAATGGTATATGAAATATAATTAACTGAATGTCCAATAATAAATTTATTGATTTATAATTAAACATTATTCAACATATTTTCTATAAATCTTGGAACTCACCTAAATACATAAAAAATAAAAAAATAAGAAAATTTTATAGACTTCCAACAAAAATATAATAAATCACATTATATGTATCATGACCATTAAATAGTATATTGAATTTGTTAATATTAAAGAATATTTACCGAAATGAAAAATATTAAATCATGAAAAGATCACAAGCATGTGAATATAAATTTCTATCATACTGTAAATATTAAATTTTAAACACTGACAACTAAAACGATATGATTAACAGAATTATGGTAACGGATACTGATTCAACTATATATCCTCCTTTCTAAATAAGACTCCATGTATATCACATAATGAGTACTGTAAAATCACCGATTATTATTGTTGCATTAATAAGAGCACTTTGCACGAGTGAAATGCTTTTTTAGTTATTTCTCACGGTTACAATTTTAATAACTGTTTTATGTATCAATAAAACTCAATATTTTAATATATATAATATGATAATATTTGCCTTTCATAAAAAATTTTCTAATAAATAAATGTATTAAAAAATTAATACTTATTTTTGTATATATTTAGACTTATTAATGAATATAAATCAAGAATATTAATTTTTAACCTATTAAAAAATTTTTAATAGTTTTTACCGTTGAAATGTTATATGCATTACGTAATTGAAAATGTTAAATTATATCACAATTAAAATTTAGACGAAAAAAATTAATGGTTATTTGAAATATTTCATGTAATTATCATGAAACACTTTACCAGAATATACAAAAACATTTTTAGGTTTTAAAATTTACAAATACCTTTTTTCTATTTTTTATTGGACATTTATATTATTACTAATTTAATTTAAAAATAAATGCAGTAATTAGAAAAACACAATCTACAACGATGTATAGATAATAAAACAAAATTTAAATATTTGTTTAAAAAATACATATAACTTATTTTTAACTGTTTTTCACTTTTGAATCAAATTAATATCATTAATTAAAATAGGACTATAAATCAAATTTCATTTTATACTTGTCATACAAGTACAATTATTTTTGTAATATGGATAATATGGACCAATAAATCAATACAGAAACAAAATTTTGAAGATAATATTAAAAACTGGCCTTATTATTTATTAATTATTAAAAAAACTAGTATGTAATGGGAATATATATATAAAATTTAAAGCATTTTGAGAATCCTAAACATAAACTTGGCATAATATAAATTAGATCATTATTACCCGATATTAAATCATTACAACTTATTTTTTACTTCACTATTTGTTTTTAAGAAACTATGCTTTAGCAACAGAAAAAATGATATCATTTATGTGAGATACATCAATTATGAACGTAATTTATGATTAAAACAAAATCTTTTTAATAATTTGCAAATTGTATAAATCTATCGTAAAAATGCTGAAAAACTGCTACTTAATCTGATCGCATAGGCATTGATAAAATAAAAATGAACATCTGATTTTTCATCAAATGATTTAATTCTTAATTTAGTTGAAAGTTAAAATAAAATTATAATTGAAAAAAGTAAAAAAATTGATATTGATAATATAAATTCGATAATTATAAAGAATATTGTTGACTTACCTATCGCATCTATGGACTGTGCTTCCTCGTCGCTAGTTTCCATGGGCACCGTGTGATTTTCCTTTTTCTTATCTTTTGATCTACTAGTGACGCTCGAGCTTCCTCCTGTAATACCAGCATTCTTTTTTTTATCTTTTTGCTGCTGCTGCTGCTGCTGCTGCTGCTGCTGCTGCTGCTGCTGCTGCTGTTGCTGCTGTTGCTGCTCCAATTGAAGGTTAGTACTTGTATTGTTAATATTCGTTACGCTCGTATTCGATGATGAAGACAGGGCGCCTTTACACTCGACCCTGGGGGAAAGCGAATTTCAAATTGTAAATATACAAAATTATGAGTTTAGCTTTAAAGTAAATGAAATTATAAATGGATAGTAAATATTTGTGCAAATATCTTTCAATGGTCATAAATGTAAATTTAATTTAATTAAAATAAGTGAAATCAAGTCAAAGAAAAAAAAAATTATATATGTTATATATAGTAAAGATACAGAGTTTTTTAAGTATATTGAATGAATTCTCGATTTTCAGCTACAGGAAATATACAGATTCAATATAATAAAAAATGTCCATGAAGAATAAGCATAAAAATATAGTAAACTTTCTTATTTACGATAAAGAATACAATTTTTTAAACGAATATCCTAGGCGATTATCATAAAAGAATCGATTACTAGCTACCTTGAATTAACGCGAAAATGCAAATCTTTGTTAAACTCTACCTCTTTCCGAGCCGCCATCCAAGTAAATGAAATCCGTGAATTCAACTCAATTAAGATGATGAACATTGGGTGAATATCCAAGCAAACATTGTCCGCTAACCAATAACCATTGATTAGCATTGCAATCTGCTAATGACTGATCTACCCCCCTTTCTCTCTATCCCCCCTCTCTCATCATTCATAATGGAAGAGAAAGAGAGGGGGGGCCTATACCCCCAGACAAACGTTGAACTAATATTCAGAACAATGTAGAGAAAGAGTAAAATTTTAAATAAAATTTTGCATTTTTACGAGATATATCTTCAAAATTTGATTGTACTATTTTTACAAAGAAGAAATGAAAAGAGGCCGGCTACCTACTTTATCTTTATTGGAATATATGAGAGAATAATAGACTGAGATGCCTAGAATAGGGAGGAAGAGAGTTTTTTATTTGCTTATAAAATCTCTTTCGATTACTGTTCGCACGTATGACATTTAATTTGCCTACAGCTCGAAATTGATTAAAAGAAGAATTATTCTTGTCACTTGCAATATTGGTTAAATCAACTAATACATTATATTTTTTTCTTTAAAGTTTTTTGTTAATACTTTTAATTTATTTATTTTTATTTACCCCTTAAATATACATAATATTTTTTAACATACATACTTTAATAAAAATTTCAAATTTTGATATGGCTTTTATAATTAATAAGTGAAACGAATCTGCGTATTTAGATTAAAATTTTAATAGATTTGAATTACAACATGGGAGAAAAATAATATTTATTAAATATGTTATTAAAGCAATTATTTGGAAATTAGGAGTGAAAGAATAATTACTTTTATATCAATGATAATTTTGTATTCAAATTAATATATAAGTAATTAATTTTAATAATTATGAACATCAATTTTTCAAATAAATTTCCAAATTATTTTTTTTTATTCATCATAAAAAAACGTTACCAAACAAAAATTTCGAATAAGAATTGTATAGCACTTTGATATACGTTATAAGATAATTATATGCTTTATTAAAAAAATAATAATTTTAAAGTAAGTTAAGATAAATTGAAATTTACATTTTATACTAAGTAAAATCAATCGTATAGTTATGAAATTAATTAAGAAAAACAATAATATGAATTTTACAATATAGTTTTTCAATGAGCCATTTGCTTTGAATGTAGAATTATAATAATTATTACATAAGCATTACTATTTAATTAAATAATGATATTGATTTAATATATTTATTTATTTAATTTATTATTTAATAACTATTATATTTTTCTATAAGAGATTCAATCAAAATTGCTTAAAATCATATTATCATCACGAAGCCATTACCAATTCAAAATTTAAAAACAAAATTAAATTCTATCCCCTTAACGAGAATACAAAACTATTATAAATTACTTAATGTCAGTATATTTTATGTACTTAGAATATTACTTAATCTAAATCAATCAATGTATATATATACATATTAATTATTCAAAGAAATATAATTGAAATAATAAAAATATTAATATTTTTGAATATGTTAATGAATTATTAATTTATAATAATATTGATGTTCACATCTTATTAGATGTAAGAGATATGAAGTGTTCAAGGATAAGAATAACTCACTTAATTTCTCTGCTGGAAAGTGTCTCAGAACTCGACTGCGATTCCTCTTTGATATCCTTAAGAAGTAGTGAATCCTTTAACTCTGTCTTAATTTCCTTGTTTTCCTTGTTTGCTTCACGGGCATCCTTAGTGCTTGTCGACGACGTTGATGTCGTCAGTACGGTCGACGTCGTTATCGTCTCGTTTATACTTGGGACGGATGCTGACGCTACTGTTGATGATGTCGATGTTATTGTTATCGCTGTCGTCGTTATTATCGCCGTCGTTGGCAAAGATTCTGAAGTTAACACAGCAACACTATTATTGGACGAAATAGCAACAGTGGCGATAATTGATGAGGATGGCGTCGAACCGTTTGCATTCGTAACTGAAGTTGACGATGATGAAGGAATTATCGTCGATGGAGTCGATATTGTTGTCGTTGTATTATTACTACCACTTGACGATGCCGAGGTGCTTTGTGGATTTTCTTGCGTTTTCTGTTGCTGCTCACGCTGCAGCCTCGTAGTTACTCCTGTCGTTAATATATCTATAGGTCCGATAGTGGAGTTACTATTATTTACCTAAACAAAGTATAAAAATAATTATTCCTTATATTATGTAAAGAAAAACTATGAAATCAGGTTTTTTTCTTTCTTGTTTAGCATTATATTGATTGGGAACTATGAACTGTAAATATGTTTTAATGCAATAATTCTAAAGTATATAGAAATTTATATATTATGAAATATAAATTTAACAAAAATTGGTTTTAATAATTATTTGGGAATTATACCGGTGATTAGTCTTTATTCAAAGATCACTTATATTTATAAAGATATTTTTCTGAATTCATATTATATTTAGTACTAGTCATTCCTCGTTGACATTAAAATGATAATATTACGTGTCTTATTGAATTTTAACTTAATAAACAAATGTTATTTGTATTTATAATAAAGTTCGTTAAGAGTTTAAGAATTTTGTCTATTATTTAAATTGATTTAAAAAATTTGTAATTGTAAAACGCAATAAAATGCTCAATCAATATTGAAGTAAAACGATCTATGTAGAATAACGGAATTGAAAATCATTATTATTACCTTATTGTTAGGGTTGTTTCGGGAACTACGGGTGCGCCTCGATTTTCGCAATAGCTGCTTATAATTCTCCGCTTTTTTAGTGAGGTAGTAATGATGCACGCAATCCGCCACGGATTTGTGCTCGAACGATTGGGCTATCGCTCCGAAGTTCTTAGGGTGCTGAAGGTACTTTTCCTTAAACATATCGTGTTCTGTCGTACTCCAAACGTTAATAAGTTTTCTTTCGCTGTGCAATGCTTCAAGTTCTTCCGGCTGAAGCAAACCATTTCGATTCTGAAATGCGATTTTCCGCTGCTTCGCATCTAACAGCAGCGGTGGAATAACAGCGTACGAGCGCATCTTCTTATCCTCCATCTGCAAGCACATTATTCGACGTCCCGTTTTTTCAATTTTTTAGCCTACATTCAGGATGTAATATTCCGACGCGTTATCGAGCGCGAAAGAGAATAAGTGACAAAGACTTTTATTTAGAACTGTCCAGCAAAATAAATAAAATAAGTTGAAAGTTAAAATGTAAAATACATCAGCTGTTTTCAACATTTTATGTGTTTGGATGTAAACCAGTAAGTTTAAAAAAGTGCACAAAAGTATTACATGAATATAAACGCATTGTTTATATACGATAGAAAGCAAATATACATTACTAACCTGATGAGCTTTCAACGCATTTTTTAACTCGGCCGACAACTCTTCCTGAGGAATTAGCAATGATAAGAATCTTCCATGACGTGTGTTTCGCGAGAAAATTTTTGCCAAAAATCAAAGATCTTTCAATATATACACCAACCTAGTTAATTTATATATTTAAAAAATAATATAAGTAATTTACATTTGTTTTCAAATTTTATAAAAAAAATCTAATGTACTGAGAATATTTCTGTACATTATGGAACATTCATCAGTAGATAAATTTGTCTTCTTCATCCATTGGTTTTAGTCGACCACTTCCTGACCAGCACTTAGTCGAGACGGCCGACGTTCAACAAGAATGAACAAATTATTATCCTAAATATTCCGCGAATACCGGCCAGTTATCTGATATCGTCATCACAGATATCTTTCGTACCAACCAAAGAAATCAATAATCCTGAACTATACAAAGTCTCATGAGTCGATGATGCAATTACATTTTAGATGACAAACTAAAATCAATGATGTTACATAAAAGTCGTAGGTGCATTATTCTAGTATTTGCGTATAAATAGTTAGCGAATAGAATATTGATACCGCAAAAGCTATTTATTTTCAGTAAAACGTATTTGGACATCATGTGATGACGAACAAAAATATTAAAAAGCAATGTGCTTGTTAGTCAGATGTGAGTTTCTTAAAGCAGAAATATGAATTAATGTGGATAGTTTGGTGCTCTTGAGAAAGATGTTTCGCGGTGGTTAAAATTTCTTTTCAATAAGAAAAGATTAGATATTTTCGTAAACGATGAATCAATGAATATAATTGTATAATGATCTCAGCACATTGATAAAACATTATAAAGATAAAGAAAAAATTCCGTAGATAAAACATCTACGAAATTCGACAAAAATTAGATTAAATATTAAGCCTTCGAAAGATTAGCAAAGCACACAAAAATTTAAGCTTAAACACAATAATATAACGAGCACAATATTTTCCTTCAATTTCGCTCACCTTTTCTCTTTCGACTCGAATTTTTAATAATAAACATTCAGCGATAATAGAATAAAAAAACACGCAGCATTAATAATCAAAACTAATATTTTTAACAAATTATTTTAAATATTATCACAATTACTTTACCCAGTTATGGTTCATTAATGAAGTTTAATAAAACTATATTAAAAAATGATTAATACATTGCACAGATATTTTACGATTATTTACAAGTATATAATACTAATCTTGATTATTAATGATTCAATTATTCCCAATGGAAAAATTACAATAAGAAAGCCAATCTTGAGGAAAACAGAAAAAAGCAATATTATAAAAATAAAAGGTGTGACGTTCTAAAATACCTCCTGCTCCTGCAGACCATCCATAATCTCTTCAAGGTCGGCCTCGCTCTTAATGCGTGCACCGACCCTGTTAAAGCGTTCCTTATCCTCGCGTTGTTTGCGCAGCTCCGGAAAAACTTTCTCGAAAAACTCGCGATTTTTAGCCTCCTTGGTTTTGCGTTTCTGAGTTGCTTCCAGTTTTTCCACCTTTCGGTGCCACTCCTGTACAAGAATTGCATAGGTCTGAGATTGTTGATGATGCAAGGAGGCACGTTCCACATGCTCTTTACGCAATCTCGCAACGAGACGCGCTTTCATGCACTGATGCCTTGTGCGATTCTCCTGGTATATACTTGTATCCGATGGTTGATTGTAAAGCGGCAATTTTATCTTCGGACCTAACTTCTCTAGCAGCCTGTGCGCCTCCTCAGCTTTTTTCTGAAAAATATATTAGTAAAATTATTAATTCATTCGGACGATAATAATGTTTAATAATTGTTAATAATAAATTTTCTTATATTTCATTCGTAGCTTTTGAAGCTTTCGACTAGTGCTTATTGATATACAGCTTCTGTGCTTGATTGATACAATTTCTTGTAAAGGAAGCATTTACAAATTTATGAAATACAGTCTAAGAGACCTTTTTCAGATCATTTCTCAGAATAAAAACATTGTGTTATATTAAAGACAATTGTATTAAATATGGATTACTTATTTACATAAATATGAGATTTTTTATTATATTAAAATGCTACTTATGTATGCATTGTAAAATAGTTGTTACAAATATTTTTACTATTAAACATTTATACCAAATTTGAAATATAAAATTCTCTTTAATTATATATAATTACACGTAATCGCACATACACGCGCACACACAATTACACAATCAGTTAATATTTTTGCTAATATTCATGATAAATTTTTAATACATCATATTTTCAAATATGTTAACAGATAAATTTTTATTTATTCAGATTGATTATGAAGTTGATTTATCACAATAGATTATAAAATTCATGCAAATTTGACAATAGTGATTGCTTTTATGATAATGATTAAAAATATTTTAGATTATTAACTCATCTGAAAATAAAGTATGTATTTTGAATAATATATTTATTTTTAGTCATATAAAAAAAAAGTATTCTTTAATAATTTGAAGAAAAAAAATTTATAATCTGATAAATGTACTCATTTTAATTATCTAATTCGAAATAAGTTCGTATAAAATACTTTCCACTAAATAGACATTCATATTGCAATACTTATTTAAATATCTTACCCTATTTTCAGCATATATTTTTTGTACAAGCGACTGATGTTTAGGTTGTAGAGATGTTTCTTCCACGGGTCTTTTAGTCCCAGGTGCTTCCAAAGGTTTGCTCGCAACTTCTTCCAATTCTTTAAGTTTTTTTCGTAACTTACTAATCTGAGATTCCCTTTTAGCAATTTCCCGATCGACTTTGGCGATCTGCTGAAGGAGATCGTCTTTGGTACTCCTAAATGCAGCGTCCTCTTGCGTATTGGGCTCTGGAAGAGTTGGCGAGATCGCTTCTGTTTGTGGTGTATAAACACCAGCCGTTGGCTGTAATAAAAATATACAAATACATTATATAATAAACAAAATTATTTTAAAAATTTAATAACCTCTAAACTACAATAGTGTTTGATAGATTAAACATTGTTAATAAAATAATACAAATGTATCATTAACTTGACAATAATGTTAATAAGCAATCTAATTAAATGTTTTATAAAATAAAATAAAACATGTTAATATAAATTATTTAAAAAAAATATCGTTTAAAAAAATCTTAATCTTGTAAGATATAGATAATTATCAGAGAAGTCAATCTTAAAATAGATTGTAAATTTATTTAATATGAGGATATCATTGGTATTGAATCAAATATTTTATAAATTAAAATGTTTTGGATTTTATTAAAAAATCAAAAATTAAATTATTCAATTTATACTTATATTTAAGAAAATGACGAATCTCAAAAAAGCATTTGAATAAATATCATAAGTATTGTATATATTCAAATATAAAATAAACTTACAAAATCATGTTTTTATATTACGTTAACATTATAAAATATTTTCTTAAAGAATAAAAATTTTTAAATAATAACTTAATAGTTAAATTAAAATAAAAAATTTAGTCCTTTATAATTAATTTAACTCTGCCTTAGTTATTAAATTTTTTAAAAAAATTTAGTTCAGCGCTATAATTATAATTTTCTTGTATATACAAACAATTTCAATTAAATTTGAGTATTTAGAACTCAAATTTTTAATTCAAAATTAGAATTACTCTATATATATTTATAATTATTACAATGTTTTTTTATAAACATATAATTTTCAAAATATAAAACAAAATTCATTTTAAGTTATAAATTTCCACAATTTATAAAAATTATTTTTATTGTTTTTCAATTGATAATAAATAATTCAATACGAATAATATTAAAAAATATTAAAACTCTCAATATTTTTCATCAATAAGATTTAGATGATCCATTTTAAGTAAAAATATTGTTTATACCTGTAGATATTTATTTCCTACATTTTAATAAAATATATAATCTAAAATGTATTGATTCGTGGTAGATATTTGATATTTGTATTACTTGAAATACTTGTATTAGAACATAGGTTAATTAATATACAATATAACCATAATTATAACAGCTTAAGTATTTAGAAATAGGGTATGCAAATTTATATTGTTTTTATACCTTTCTACATGGTATCAACTAAGTTAATAATATTACATGATTACTTGATAATTTGATTCAAGTTTGTTTTGTAGCTAAATAAACTACTAACAAATTAGCCATTTATAAATTTTATCTCAAAACTGTTATAATATTTACTAATACTATTTTTTATAAAATTATGAAATCTCAATAATTTGTTCCATTTTTTCTTAATATTTTATTGTTATACATTACTAAAATTTCTAAAATAGTCATTATATCATGATGATTTCTATTGTACTAACATTACTAAATTATCTTTATAATTAGAAGTACATATAAAAAAGTTCTTGTAAAGCTTAATACTCTGTATAATTTAGTCTAATATTTTTTACAATAATTAATAAGTATATTGCACGCAGTGTTTAAGCAAATATTCCATCGTTATAGTGTTGTATAGATAAAATTTATAATACAACAATCTATTCATGCATTTGTTCAATATAAACACACCCTTGTATCTATCCTGAGGGGTTGTTGAAGATGCTGCACATGTTTCTGCTTCATCAACGAGTCCTGTGTATTCGTGATCCGTTGGCATTCTGTGTGCGATATCGATTGTTGTTGCTGTTGCTGAGATGGTGGTAACTGCTGTACAGGCTGTCCGAGACGGATCTTCTTAAAAGGAGGCGAATCCTGCTGCAGTTGAGCCATATCCACAGGACTCGGACGGTAATCCTGAGGCTGTATCGCCAAGATCGCAGGTCCACCGTTGCCACCGCCGCTGCTGCTGCTGCTACGATTGTTGCGTACAGCAGCAGCGTGGTAATCTGTGGGAGCTGTTGGTGAGGCCGCAGGTGCGATGGAAGCCGGCGCTGGGAGTAGAGATATCCGAGGCCTTTCGCCCCGACCACTGACCACGTACTCACTGCCGACGTTGACGACTTGCGAGGACACGGGACTGCTGCTGACACTTATCGCTACTCGTTCGTTTACCTGAAATATAATAAATCTTGTGTTAAAAATTACTTGTCATCAATTCATCGTGGTAATGTGCGCTTATTAATATATTTGCTTTATGTGTATCTTCTCAAATACGGTCGAGTTAATTTAAATGAATTTAAATGAATTTATCATATATTATCCAAAATTCTTAAATATTGGGATATATTTTTGATTTTTTAAAGCACAAATCATAATGAAATACTATACATTCAATAAATCAATCATAACATTTGTGTTTTTAATATATTATTATAATTATAGATTTTTAATACAAAATTTTTATATAAAATACAATTAACATAAAATAAACTGCTCGTGAAAATTTTTTTACTTCAAAATTTTTAATATTTAAATGATTTACAGAAATAAACTCTAGATGAAATATATTTCATTTCTGATAAATACAGTTACAATTTTAAAAACTTAAAATTATCCCGCTTCTCATTATACATGTGAAATGAAAAAAAAATACAATAGAATTATGCAAAAACCATTTTTATCTAAAAAATTTTATTTGAATAATTCGAAGAAGAAAATAAAGAATAAAATGTTAAGAAAAATAAAGATATAATAAATTCAAGAAGATTTAATTGGTATCCGTTATTATAAAAGACTCGATTTTATATAAGGGTAAAATAGTACGGTAGGGTGAAATAAAGATTTATATAACATGGTTCACGAGTACTAATATAGTTTTATGGCTATGCTCGTAATGCTCGTAAAATGATAGAAAATGTTATAGGAACTGATCGGATAGATAGTAGCTATGTAGTTGTATTATACAAAATATAATGCTAATCAGAGAATTGTATTGCGATAATTTTTCCTAAGCAAGTAAGCTGTCAGAGAAAGCAAAGAAAGAGAAGTATAGGAAAAATATATATGAAGCACGCGTCAATTTGAACAATAAAATAGGTTCGAAGAAACACATAGGTGAAGACAACCTTCAACCACCCACTTAATCACGTGATGACGACGATGACGATTATGACGTAAGCATTACTCATGAACCATTATTGGGAATCAGTTATGTACGCGAAATGAGAAAAAAAAGCAAGAGCGTGACTCCAAGTCCGCGTGTTGTAATTACAGTACAGGTCGACGAGCTCGGCAGTTGTAAACAAATCGATATCTAGCACGCGTGTGCGCGCGCGCGGTTAGAAGTGATAAAGAAGAAGAAAATAAACGAAGACAAAAATGAAATAGAAAGAAATATATAATTAAAGTACTTAGCAACATTTTCTGTCTGTAATTTATATTTTCAAAAATGGCTGTTATTAATTTTGCTGGAATACTGGGGCATACGAAGTTTGACTAAAATTTATCAAGATTTCATTTACTCAATATAGTTAGAACTACGTCTAAAAATGTAGAATTTCTTGATAATCAAAAGGGCCTCTACATATTTATACACTCGAACAATAAATTGTTATGACAGTGAACTGTCAATGCACTGTACACTGTAGATGTACAAATCATCGACTCAATTTTTTTTTTTTTTTTTTTTTTGTACAATGTTCATGAATTAACAAAAATATTTAAAAAACTGGTATTTCTAAATTAAGAAAACATATATTTAAGAGGTGATATTGAAAAGGGTGAAAAAAAGAAAGGAATTATAGGTTAGCTTAGCTAAGAGAAGGGGGATAACGATAAAAATAACACGACCGATGTTTAAATGCTAGTAGCCCGTACTTAAGATGATAAACACTGATTTATAAAAGCGCATTTGATTTAGTGAACAAGTGAATACCTCCATGGGGCACCATCCCATATATCCACGAGCATCCTCTCGGTCATCTATCCCTGCCAAATTCGCAATACTCACATTAGGACTGGCATTGCGATAAACGTCGCGCGTGTACGCGGCGGCGGCATTGCTGGCGGCAGAAGCAGGTGAAGGTGCTGATGGTGGATGCTGTCTGTTTGGCACCTGCTGCTGTACGATAGCGGAAGGTCCAGAGGAGGCAGAGACTGGCGAGGCTGAATTTGAAGAGGCGACCTGCGCGACCTGAGCCACAGAGGTGGCCGATTGAGATGAGGGATGTGGATGGGGTGGTGGCGGAGGTAGATATGGATGAACGAAACGGAGGCCAGTAGGCACGGGTACCACAGGAGGTACCGTAATGTTCATTATCGTGATGTTCAGGCCACTCGGATCGTTTCCTGACTGCTGTGTCACCAAAAAGCAAAAACAAAGGATAAATTAGTATATTTTATATGAAAATGCCGAATTTGTTCGAGTTGCCTGCAATCGTTGCCCTTTTATTTATTAATTGGAATGTAGTCGATAAAGTTATGTATACATCGCAGCGAATAATAAATGTTTCCCCTTACAAACCAATGACCAAACCCTTTTCCCTTTCCTTGCTTAAGATTCTCTTATGAAGGTATATTATTAATCATGTGTAATGAAGAAAGATGAATGAACGAATTAATGAATGAATGAACGAATGAATGAGTGAAAGAATGAATGAAGAATGGACGAATGAGCGAATGAACGAATGAATAAATCAATCAATCAATCAATGAAAGAATGAATAAATAACAAAAGGAGATTAATAATGAAAAAGATGATTTCAAATAATGCAATATATTTTTATTCGGTATAAAAATACAGAGATAAAATGTGAAGTATTTTATTATTTACATTTTTCAATAATTTAATTTATTTTATAATTAAAGACAAATAAGAATTCGTTACATTCAAATATTTAAAGAATTTTTTATATTATCTTTTATGTATTTTTTATTTTTTACATAAATTTGTTTAAAAATAATCTTCATTATTACATCTTTAAATGAAAATATAAAAACCCTTTTTATTATCAGTAAGAGATTGAGAAAATCATCAAAAGTAATATTATAAAGACAAATTTAATATTTCTTTAATTGTTTATCGTAAAAGTGAGCCATATCTGTTGGCTAAGCCGTTATCTATGACTGATCGATGTTTTTAAATGTGATGATTATCATTAAAAAGCTATAATATTTAATTTATATTAAACTGGGTAGATAGTAGGTTGAATAGAAGCAATAGGCTCAATTGAATGTGTTACGCGATAAAATTCAAGTTGCTTAAAAGGTTTATTTATATTTAATGATATTTAGTAGTACTTGAATATTTACGACCAAAATAAATTATAATTTTATTTAAATTTGAAAATATCCTAACACCCTTCTGAATTATAAAAATGTTAACATTCAATATAAGTCTGCCCGATAGATTATTAAAACAATATTGGATTTAAATAAAAGTTCGACGTGCACTCACCGCGTGTTGGTCGCGCGAAGAGGAACTTGAAGAGGTCGCTTGGAGTCCCGCTGGTGGCTGGCCAGGGCCGCCAGTCGGGCCACTATTCATCGCCAATGATCCCGGCGATGATGAGGTGGCGGCGGCGGTGGCAGCGGCGACCTGATGGTGCTGGAACTGGTGGTGCTGTTGTAAGTGGGGGTAGTGATAAAAGTGATGGGCCGGGGGGTGGGCCTGGGGCCCGACTGGGGCCGAGGTGGGGGCCGGCTGCTGGTGGTGCTGCGGGTAGCGCACCGCGCCTGCGCCGACGACGAGGCTGCCAGGGCCGCCGCCAGCGCCCCCGCCGCCACCCGCCGCAGCAGCGCCGCCGCCCCCGACGCCCCCGACACCGCTACCCTCGACCGTCCGCGGAGACACCGCTTGACGTGAGCTTGAACCGTAGCTCTGCTGGGGCCTACAACAATGAAACCAACCTTATTTCCATCGTTTTAGATACATTAATTTATAGTTAAATCCTTATTCCATCAAACTCATCTATTTTTCTTAATTTACAATTATATTCATTAAATATGTAAATATGTACATAATTATTTTTAAATATTTTCAATTATTTTAATTTATTATTTTTATATAATTTTTATATAATTTGATGCTCTCGATGCCTAAATATAGAAATATGGCTTTATGGGCGTGAATAGCAGTCAAAACTTTTTTTTTTAATTCAGAAATGTATAAAATACATTAATATAAAACATTTTATAAAACATAAATATTACTTTTGCCGATTATTGTCAAATACTTCAGTGTAATGATTTAATCAATTTAATGTAATATTAAATATACGCATGCATAAGAAAGTCCAAAATCAATATAAACTACGAATATTATAACTAATTATATTATATCGACAATAATACCAGAATATAAATAATATATAAATATCAATAATACAATTCTTAATCTGATAAATTTCAAATGATTTTTCAATAAATTTTTAAATTTTACATCTTCTAAATCTCACACATTGAATTATAAACTACCAACAATCAAACATGAAATTTATATACATAATAACGAGGGTTATTAGTTTAAACAATAATAAAATTCTACTATTGAATGCATCTGAATTCGTTTCTTATCGCACCCTCGATATTTAATACGAACCCTTGATATGTATCATAATTCTATATTATTGGACAACAATTCTGCAAATTAATATTGATCATAGTTTATTTACTTCTTTGGTATTTATCGAAAAATTGGTGTAGGTCTAAGATACATTATGTTGATTTCGATTACATATTTTATAGAAAAGCTTTTAAAATTAAACTTTTCTTAATTGAACTGATGAAGAACGAAAATATAAATTTTCAACCAATAACTGTGATAAATCTATACTTTTTTCTCTAATTAAGCAAATTAGAAATTTCTTTTAATTTATATTCCAGGGCATTAACGAATATTTAATATATTTAAATACATTATCAGTTTCAAAATGACAAATTAATCAAAATTTAAAATAACTTTAAAAATTGTGCAAAAATTTATCAATCACAATGTTTCAAAATATGTATTGAGACAAAATTATTTAAATCTAATAAATATAGTAGATAATAATGAATAAAGAAATTTTTTGTTAATACTAGGCATATTAAAAACAACATTGCAGTATTTTAAAAATATATAGCGCACACGTTCAGTTAGTTATACGTTTACAAACAAATATATTCTCATGGGAGAAGTAAATAATACAACTTCCAATATTTACATGAATAATGAGAGATATAGAGAATAAATTACGTACAATACATCCTCCCTCTTGTTTGAACAAAATACAACTACACAAACATGAAAGATAGTTTCCTATCACACTATATTTATATTTCTTTCATAGTTAGAATCGAACTAGTAGCTCAATGATATAAACCTCGTAACAAATTTCAAAATCTTAATTGGTGATTCTTTTAAATACAACTAATATATTATATATAATAATATTACGTACTCTTATTATTATTAAATATTTGTTACAATTATAACCTAAATATTTAACTAGGTAAATCAATCAATTATTTACATTTCAAAGTACGTTACTTTTTTAGAAAAATAACTAATTTAAAACTACAGTACAATGTTAAAATTATTTCTAAAAATTAGAGTGTTCTAAATATTTTAGTTCACTAAATAAAAAAAAGGTAACCACGTTACGCCTAAAAAAAATTTAAATAATACTCTTTAAATTATTGCATCATATTTATACATAAATAATTATTAATAAAAAATGTATCGAATACTGCTCGTTATTCATTTTCATATCATTAAAGATATACAAAAACTGAAATTATCATATTGTTAAAATTTTCTTTTTAATTATATTATAAATTATCTCCCGTTTTATATTCTCAAATAATTATTCGCTAGAGAATATACAATAAAAATGTAAATATAACCATTAATTGCTTTTCTTAAGTAAATAGATGATTCTTTTGTCAAAAAAATATTTATACAGAAAATCTATTATAAAATAAACTTTTTTTTTATGACAGTTATTTAAAAATAAATAAATATAGCAACAAAAGAAATAGTTTCTATTTCGTACTATTTCACTCCTATTTTGAACTAAGCATAAATGTAATAAAAAGGGAAGAACCATTGAAACCACTATCGATCCAATCAATGTAATCTGGTATCTTTATTACATTAATTACGGAGAAAGTTTCAATATTTACAAAATAATGCAAATAACCCAATATAGACGCAATTACACGTGAATATCGCAAAATAAGCGGTGACTTGAAAATAAAAGTAATTTTAATATCAAATTTAGAAGGAAAATAGAAGTTTATGAAATCACAATTACTATACGAGATGTCGACTACTTTTATAAATTATATTCATAATTAATGTAATTTTCAAAGTTGTTATAAATACGTAGTTGGGAAATGCCGGCCATTAATTAAAATCCAATAAAATAATTACTCTAATAAAATTTCAATTGCTCATATTCAATCGGTTAATTCTTTTAATCAAAAAACTAAGAAACTTTATAATACTACGATAGTATTACATTAATAGTCATACTAAATTAATATAACTGGTAAATACAAGAAATAAAAATAATGAAAATAGTACAGTATATTCTATAAAACGAATAATGATTGTCACCCCATAAAAAATCAAATTATAAATGCGCATTAAAGTATTATATAGAGTGTAATAGAAGTGTTGGTGGTTTAAGACGCAACCGCAGTCAACGAATGATGTTGTTCGTCGCAAAAATAGTATGTAAAATAATATGCGCATATCGGAAAGCTTCGAACGATACCCTCCCAGATTGACCCCGGACAAGTTTAACAAGCTAAGGCTTATCAATAACTTCCATTTCGTATAAAGCCTATTTCCAATACTTTTCTACTATCAACATTTATGCCAAATACTTAACAAAATCCTTTATACCTTCCTCCTTGTTAATAAACAAACTTTTAAATTTATAATTAATTAATATAAATTATAATTCAAAGCCCATAGTTTTAAATTATTCATATTTTTAAAAACTAAGAACTTTAACAACTAAAATTCTTCTATAATAAAAAATTCGAACATATTAAATTGAAAATATAAAGACAATCAGACAAGTGTACTTGAGCATAATAATGAAATAAAAATATTTATTGATAATTAATAAATGTTTTGAGAAGCAAAATCAGCTGTTTGTTAAAATATAATGTCGGATCATTTATAAATTGTGCTAATAGTATAAATTTCAAACTAACGATACAATCGTGGGAAAATAAAAATATTTATTGAAAACCTATGCCGTACACACACACACTCACTCACTCACTCGCACACAGGCAGAGAGAGAGAGAGAGAGAGAGAGGCAGACAGAGACACAATCTAATATTTTATGGTTACTTATTAAGATCAATTTAATTTTTTTATTTTTCTAAAGCAAAGGTGTAGTCGATAAAATTTGTTTCTATATCCGAGACTTCTTGAGCAACTCGCCTTTTATCGTCCTAATTATTTTAATTCCACCTGTTCTACAAATTCCACGTGTGCAACATTTGTGGTTCAGAACTGTCTTCGACTGCATTCAACGATACATTTCCGCAAAATACGTCAATGGACACTGAACTCATCTTTGCGACTCCTCCCTTTTGGGAAAAAAGCGTCAGCGACGAATCGAAAACAGCTACGCGGGATCGTTTCTGTAGCGATGGCCGCCGCGCATGTGCACAATACAATGAACAACCACGTGGCCGTATCACACGCGCATGCGCCTTCCAGCGTCTTGTCTAATAATGTACCACCCCGACGCACCAAAAATATCTTGGATATTCTGCATATCCCCTAACTCGAGGAACTGTACCGACAGCCTGCAGCGATGACACCACCGAGCGACCAACGCTCCGTTCCTTTCTCCGTGCGAACAAGAACGTCGTGTGTACAAGAAAAGAGGGAGCGCGTGGGGAAAAAGATCGACAGTGTTGCCAGGTCGTCTCAACTCTGTTTTCACTACCGCCCCAACCTCCCTCTTCCTATCGCTCTTTCTTTTTCTCTCCATACCATTCTTTTTTCAACATTATTTCTTAAAACTTTAAAAATAGAACGGCATATTTTATTTTAAAATCCAAACCGTTTCCAGATTTAGCTATATATTCAGATAAAAAGCGTGTCCTGAAAACTCATCATAAAACACACCTCTAATATTCACGAAAACCAATGACGCTGAAAATGAATGGCAATGGCATATAACAGGACAAGATTAATTGGAATCTTAGTTTTTCAGATATGAGACTCAGAAATGTTAATTTCGATTACAACATTTGCTATAATAATCGGCAAGAAAGGAAAAATTACAGTTATAGATAACTAATTATTAATTTAGGAAATATCTTACGTGACATTGAAACCCCGTTAATAGAATATAAAGTAGTGTGCTAAATTTGATCAGAAAAGTCAAACATTGAAGGTACAATATGCATCTTACTCAGTGTGCTCACTTTCGTCACTCCTCTATTTACTCTCTCTCCCTCTCCCTCCCGCCCTCGCTCATTCTCTCTCTTTCTCTCTCCCTCGCACTCTTTGAAAATGTTTATGATGTAACGGACATTGGCTCTATACTTCTGTATATATATTTAAACCAAACGATCGAAAACGGCAGAAAAAAAAGAAAACTATATATGACGCTAGTATGCAAGTCGTTTGAATAAGTTCAGGGGCTGCAATGAAAAAATATTTCGACAATCTTGTGCAAAGGAAGATCTAATCAAGTTGGGCGATGACAACGTATGTTACATTCCTGGAGTCCGACATTTTCTGCTTACATGTGTGTAGCCGCCATTTATCGTTCGAACTTCCATCGAAATGGCGGTGACGACTCATCGTCTAATATAGACGATGAATTCACAAGGGGTACCTTTCGATTTATTCAGTCTTTAATTATTTTAT